AATGCCAGTTTTTGTATAATGAACTCATCTTTGGAACCTAACCATGTTGATAACTGAGAAGTGGGTGTGTATTAATTCACTCAGTATTGTTCATAACCGTAAGAGGTTGGTACCATTATTATCACCTGTTTTACAGATGAAGAAACTGAGGCATAGAGAAAGTAAGTGCCCAAGTAAGTCTGGGAGCCACCTTTTACCCTCTTGAACTACCTCTTATTCCTCGCAATCACAGCATTAAATTTACAAATTGGTATTTTGCAGTGAGAGAGGAATTCAAAATTCATTTTTTTCTCTCATGTGTGACAATATTTTAAAAAACTTCGTTTGTTTTCTCAGTGAGCTTTGAATCTGTCAACAAATACATCATGTAGTTATAAAAACTTGATGGGCTGTTTTGTTATTTACAAATAATAAAACCAAACACGAGGTTGTTCACCAGCTGTTACACAGCAGGAACCAAAGAACATGCCTGCAATTGTACTTTTTGCCTCCCCATTTTCAGGACCAGGCCATCTGTTCTTGTTTAAAAAAACTCGAGGGTGAGAACAACACATTTACAAAAGCACCTCTTCACGAAATTATTAATGTTTATAAAATTGAATAAAGATGCATTTATTAAGCCTCTGGGTGTTGGCATTGTACCTGGCGAACATGCAAGGTAGTTAAGACTAACATTTCTGTGGCCTTTTTAGAGTTTACAAAAAGCCTCTTCAGAAGCTGCTTACATCACACATTTAGAACAGCGCTTAAAAGGCAAAGAAATCGCCAACTTCTCTATGCGTTTGCATCGCTCTCCCTAACTCCTGGACACCTAGAACGTTTGTCTCCTGTACTTTGACTCCAGCCGCTTAACCCCTTCTTCCTGAATATTGTCTTTTCCGGGTCGAGGCTCGAGGATTGGCTGTAATCTGAGCACGCGCGTAATCTCAGCAACGCGGGACGGTTGGCGCGTTCGCCAGGACCCGCCTTCCTCCCTTTTAACAAGCGGAAGCGGGTTATCGGCAGTGCGCGTGCGCAAAAGCCGTCGCGCCGCTAGGGTAGTTGGTTATTCTTGAAGAGCGCATGGGCGAACTACGTCCGTTTGTCCGGACCGAAAGGGAGAGCGGCGCCATTTTCTTCTAGGTTCACTGAGGTCTGTACGCGTTCTGTGGAGGCTATTGCAACGAGGAGTGCACCCCACATACGGCCCTGTGTGTCCGATTCGACAACAGTGGTGTGTGTTTATTGCCAAGTGCGGAGCAGTACCCTTTGGGCGTCGGGGGTGGGGGAGGGATTGGCGACGGGACGGAAGAACAGGGAAAGGCGGGGCAGTCGGCCGCGTCAGACATACAGTAGCTTCTGTGGTGAGGGCACTTTCTTTTCTTTCCTAACATCGACTCTCCCGTCAGCCTGCGTGTGGTAGTGTGTGTGTGCGTGCGCGCGCTTCCCAGCGATCTTGAGAGTGAAGATCTCGAAAGAATAGGTTTTTTTTTCCTTGCTATGTCATCGTCTGCGGTGGCAGAAAAGCGCTGAAGGCCCGGTTCGTTAGGCTTGAGAGGGGCAAAAATGTTTAATTTGGGTTTGGGGGCAGTTCAGTCTTCGGCGAGTTAGGATGGTATTTATGCCGTGTGGACGGCGTAACAGAAAGGCACGGTGGTTGGGCGGTCCAGGTTAATTTGAAGGCTGATTTTGGCGGAAGGCCGGCGACAGCATCGGATCCCACGTAGCAACTTTGGCCGGGCGCGAAAGAAGGAACCTCTTAACCCCTCGGAGTGTGACAAAGGCTTTGGGCTGTAGAATCGATGCCTTCGGATGATCCACTCTTGAGAATGATGGATATTATGGGAAATCCTGTACTGTGGAATCGGCTTCATTTACAGTTCCTGTTGGGGACTATGAGTCGGAATCGATTCAACGGCAACGGTTTTTTTTTTTGTTTTTGTTTTTTTTTTAAATTGAGGACTGTGGCTCTGTGTCGTCATGCCTTTGGTTTTTATTCTGACCATCTACATTATAAAAGGCAGATCATCATAAACAATAATTGTGAGTTAGGTGGATTATTTTCTGCAGGGGAGACACGTTTAGAATTTGAATGTGCTGTATCATAACTTTGGGTTTTACGGCAAAGAGTCGCAGGCAAAGAGTAGAAGATTTTTCTTTCCCTCACCACGTCCGGAAAATGACTTATTTGCTAGTTAAGGTCAAATGGATCTTACATAATACTTATTTAAATTCAGTCTCCCTCCCTTATTTCCCTTTTAGTCTTGATTAGAAGATACATATATGGTATTGTTTAGTAATAACAGTAATTAAGTGCGATGAATCCATGGGTAAAATCAGTAAAATTATTTAAAGTGGCTTATTAATTTTAGTAACTTACCCTTAAATGAGCTTTTAGGGACCCTCTTCGTTTTCTTCATAAGTTATAACTTTTGGCACATCAGTGTGTCTAAGTCAACACAGCTAAAAATACTTTCATAAGTAGAAAAATTTTAAGTGCAGGGTACTTTAGGCTATTTTATGTGTAATTTAGTGTTCCATGAATAGAATTTCTAGGAAATTTGCTTAAGGAAATAGCATATCGGAATCACAGGAAAAGTCATTTTGAGAGTTGATCTCTTGCAGATGGTCTCCAACGTATGTTAATTGTGGAGGAATAAATTTAGATTACTATCTCAAGGTCAAGAAATGTTTAAGCATTAAATTTAACTGGTAAATTAGAACAAACTTTATATAGTCTGCTTGAATTGGAATTCCTGAGATTTGTACTCACAGGACTATTAAGATAGTTTTTAAGTTAGGATAAATTAATTTTTAGAGAATTTTCTGAGTTTGACATATAAGTATTCCTTGAAACATTCATCCCTAATTTCTCTTACTTGTAGATAAATTTATGTTCTCAGGATAAATCCCTTTTCAATATTTTAAAGAAGAATTTAGGAGGGGTAAAATTATGTGTACCAAATGCTGCTTTTTAAAATATAGTGTAAGTGAAAAAGTTGCTAAGGCAATTTGTATAGGAAGGAGTTTTGGAACTTTAGTGTGGACAGCTGTTCCAGAAGCCATTTATAGTTTTTATTGAAATGTTGGATATGGATTTTGGTTTGTTGAAGACTGGGTTTATACTCCCTGTTTTGTTTGGTTTTTGCTACCAGTATATCTTTATAGTAAATCTCAGTAATTTGACATTGATGATAATTGAGATGTAGAATTTGCCAAGTAGTTTCTTGATACGTTAGTTTAGCTTGTAGTTTAAAGAAAAATAAACCTTTCAGACCCCACTTTGTGAAACAGTGCTACTTAAGTGAAAGTACTGATTTAAGCAACATCATTTGCACATTAAATACATATAAATGTATAATTACTAATTTAACAGGTTTAAAAGCTTCTTTGTTGAGACTTCATTAAGTATTGTTGGCTTGGGTATCCTTGAAAGTATCAGATATAGTTTCCTTAAGCAAAGTTTTAGATTTTTCAGTTGTTAAAACTGGTAACCCCCAAATAATCCAAATTAATGTACTTTTACTTTTCTACAGTGTCATTTAGGTTTCCACAATAGAGTGCAGGTTAGTTGTTTGAAATGAAATAAACCTATTGGCATAAAAAGATTCTGTATGTACTGCAAAATTTTCTGTTTGGCTTGAAATGAATTTTAATATTAATTGTTTTAGGAATTTTAAGACAAGGAGTGGTGTTGAGATCTTTGATTTTGGTTAAAGCGCTCAACTGTTAACTGAAAGGTCGGCGATTTGAATCCACCAGGTTTCTCTGCAGAAGAAGGATGTGACAGTCTGCTGCTGTAAAGATTTACAGCCTTGGAAACCCTATGGGGCTGTTCTGCTCTGTCCTGTAGGGTAGCTATGAGTCGGAATCAAGTCAATGGCAGTGGGTTTTGGGTTTTTTTTTAGTGCAAGAAAAGGCTCAAAGCCTTTTCAGTGATTTAAAAGCTGCACATGACTTAGTGAAGGTGATTGTGGTGAAGAATTTGTTGTGAGTAGGTGGGAGTGGATTAAGTAGTAAGCAGAGTACTGTGAAGGCTTATATTAAGCAAGGTACGTCTGGGCTTACTTGTGTAAACAGGTGAACTTGTGCACTACAGATCAGTAAGTAAGCCCATGCATGTACCTAGCTTATTGGGTAATCAGTCCCTGCAAGTAGGGGTTGGTTCAGTCTTGTCAAAGTGAGGGCAAATTTACATACCGATTGTGACGCGGGGACTTATGTACAGTGAGGAGTCAGGAAATTGGGTTCCATGTTTGGAGGTGTGAGCTGTATTTAAGCAGAGCTTAAACACTGTATCCAAATAATAGCCACTGATTTGGACGTGCTTTAAAAATGATTTTTGAATTTCAAGTGTTGGTGCTTTATTTATTGATTACATAATTTTGAATGGTTGCCTTATATTTGATTTGGCCTTATGTTTTGAAAAGGAGGAGAATGGCAGAGGAGTTGGACATGAATATGAACTAGATGTTTGGTCTTTTCATAAGTGGAAGTAATGGAAGGTTTTTTGGAATTTTTAGTATTCTTGATATTTTATGTGTAAAGCAGTTTCTTTTTTTTAAACGGATGTAAAATTTGTACATGGTGAAATGCACACACCTTGAGGATAGAATTCAGTGAGTTTTGATAAATTTATACACCCATGTAACCAACATACGAATAAAAATACAGAACGTTTCCATCACCTCTTGTACCGCTTCCAATCGAGGAACAGTTGTTTTTTAGTTTTCAGCAAGTTTTTTGTTTTCAAACAATTTGCAGATGTCTACTTGGATTTTGCATTTCCTTCTTGAAACAAAGTAAACCGTTTTGTAATGCCTCTAATTGTGGTTCCTTATATTGCTTTGGTTGGCCCCTGGGTGGCGCAAATGGTTTGTGCTCATCTACTAACCTAAAGGTTGGTGCTTGGAACCCATTCAGCAGTGCTGTGGAAGAAAAGTCTGGTGGTTTGCTTCTCTAGAGATGACAATCAAGATAACCCTATGGAGCATTTCTACTCTATAACACATGGGATTGCCGTATGTTGGAATGGACTCAACAGCAACGGGTTTGGTGTTTTTTGTTTTTTTTTTTTTTGGTTTATATTGCCTCACTTTTGATAGGAATTTTGAAATGGATATCCTAATCTGGTGTTTAAGATCAATTACAGGGTCCAAGGATTAATTATATTTCATTTTCTTTCCACAGTTAAGTTGATTTTACAGAATTAACAGGTCTCCAAGAAATAAAAAAAAGGTAAGATATCCAGAGCTTAAGGCTTTTCACAGAGGCTTAAAAGGAAAAAAAAAAAAAAACCATGTAAAGTAGAATAGTACATGTAGGTGTACATGGATTCTGTTCTTTATGTCTGGCTAGTGAGGTGCTAGTGGTAGACAATTTATCATGAGCAGCAATTATATACTGACCATAGATGCCTTTTCTAAATCTTTAAAAATTCATCATGGTTGGTAAACTACTTTAATCCACAAATCTCTCTCATGTTTCAGTAGAAGATATGTTGCTAAGTGAATTTGAAAGTAGCTTGGTCTTGTTGTGAAGCAACATTTGGCAGAAGGGAAGAATTCTTATTTTTGATGCTTATACTGTATAGGACAAGGTGATATGACATGTTTCTTCAAGGTAGTTGGTTTATTTGTATGTTTAGATGGGAGAATGTTTATTCTTTGCTTTCTTAAGAATTAGATAGGGTCACTATTTTTGTGAATTTGTATCTTGTCATTTATAAATGCTGAAGGAGTTAGGAAACAAGTAATTATTAAGCTTAGTTTGGGCTAAGGTACTTCAAAAATAAGATTTGCTATTATGTGTACCTTTTTGTCTGCAGGTCATTAATTGCTGTTGTTTGAGCTCAGCATGGCTGTAGTCATCCGTTTACTGGGGCTTCCTTTTATTGCGGGGCCTGTGGATATTCGTCACTTCTTCAAGGGATTGACTATTCCTGATGGAGGAGTGCATATAATTGGAGGGGAAATTGGGGAGGCTTTTATTATTTTTGCAACAGATGAAGATGCAAGACGTGCCATAAGTCGTTCAGGAGGGCTTATCAAGGATTCATATGTAGAGCTTTTTCTTAGTAGCAAGGCAGAAATGCAGAAGACTATAGAAATGAAAAGAACTGACCGCACAGGAAGAAAGCGACCAGGATCTGGGGGATCAGGGGCTGGCAGCCTATCTAATTTTGCTGGGGCTGTTAAGGAAGAAGCAAGTAATTCTGGATATCAGGATGCTGAGTTTCATACTAATGGTACAGGACGTGGTGATTTAAAGCCAAGGAGCACACGGCCAGCGAGAGCCAAAAATCCTTACTTATTTCTACGGGGTTTGCCTTATTTAGTAAATGAAGATGATGTACGTGTTTTTTTTGCTGGTTTGTGTGTGGATGGAGTAATTTTCTTAAAACTTCACGATGGCCGAAATAATGGTGATGCCATAGTAAAATTTGCTTCATGTGTTGATGCTTCAGGAGGTCTTAAATGTCATAGAAGTTTTATGGGTTCAAGATTTATAGAAGTGATGCAAAGCTCAGAACAACAGTGGATTCATTGTGGTGGTAAGCAGGATGAAGTTCCTATGAGAACTGAAGAACATTCTCCAGCAAGAGGAATCAATGATAGACATTCTCGAAAACGGTCTCATTCAAAATCTTCTAGAAGAACACGTTCTCGTTCCCCTGTTGGACATTATGTTCATTTAAAAAATCTCTCTCTAGGTATTAGCAAAAGAGATTTAAGAAATTTCTTTAGAGATACTGATCTGACTAATGAACAAATTACATTTTTATATAAAAATGAAAAAAGAACAAGATACGCCTTGGTGATGTTCAAGACTCTGAAAGACTTTTATACTGCTCTGGCTTTACATAAGACTATCATACAGTATCGTCCAATTCATATTGATCCAGTTTCTAGAAAAAGAGTGCTGCGATTAATGGAATATTATGAAACGAAAAGACCAGGGTCAGTAGAGAAAGAGAGGCCTGGACATGATTCACAGAAATATTCTCAAGAAGGCTACTCTGGCCAGAAGCTATGCATATATATAAGAAATTTTCCATTTGATGTCACAAAAGTTGAAGTGCAGAAGTTCTTTGCAGACTTTTCTCTTGAGGAGGATGACATTTACTTGCTTTATGATAGCAAGGGAGTTGGTTTGGGAGAAGCACTGGTGAAATTTAGATCAGAAGAACAAGCCGTGAAAGCTGAACGTTTAAACCGGCGAAGATTCTTGGGGACAGAGGTGTTGTTAAGACTTATATCTGAGGCACAAATGCAGGAGTTTGGTATAAATTTTTCCTTGATGTCCAGTGAGAAAATGCAAGACCATTCAGAGCCACATGATAGAGATGACCATTCCCATTCGTTTGACTCAAAAGAGCCACCAGTATACTCAGCTGGCACTTCTGAAAACTTCAGGCATCAGCTAGAGGACGTGAAGAAGCCAGAGAATTTCAAGCATCCCCAGGGAGATTTCAGACAGTCTGATAGGCGCCCTCCCGAAGACTTCAGGCACTCCCCAGAGGACTTCAGGCGCCCACCAGAGGACTTCAGGCACTCTCCAGAAGACTTCAGGCACCCTCAGGAGGAGCATTTCAGGCGGCCTCCTGAGGAGGACTTCAGGCACCTTAGGGAGGAAGAATGGAGGCGGCCTCCTGAGGAGGACTGGAGGCGGCCACCGAAGGAAGATTTCAGGCGGCCTCCCAAGGAGGACTGGAGGCAGCCTGCTGAGGGAGACTTTAGGCGACCACCCGATGAGGACTGGAGGCGACCACCCGAGGAGGACTTCAGGCGGCCTCCCCAGGGGGACTGGAGGCGTCCACCTGAGGGAGACTTCAGACGGCCCCCTGAGGAGGACTTCAGGCGGCCCCCTGAGGAGGATTTTCGGCGGCCCCCTGAGGAGGACTTCAGGCATTCTCCTGAGGAAGACTTCCGGCGGTCACCCCAGGAGCATTTCAGGCGGCCACCTCAGGAGCACTTCCGGCGGCCACCCCAGGATCATTTCAGGCGGCCGCCCCAGGAGCACTTCCGGCGGCCATCCCAGGATCATTTCAGGCGGCCGCCCCAGGAGCACTTCCGGCGGCCATCCCAGGATCATTTCAGGCGGCCGCCCCAGGAGCATTTCCGGCGTCCGCACCAGGAGCACTTCAGGCGGCCACCCCAGGAGCATTTTAGGCGGCCACCGCAGGAGCATTTCAAGCGGCCCCGAGAGGAAGATTTTAGGCACCCACCAGATGAAGATTTCAGGGGCCCTCCGGATGAAGACTTCAGGCACCCACCTGATGAGGACTTCAGGAGCCCTCGGGAGGAAGACTTTAGATGCCCTTCTGATGAGGACTTCAGGCAGCTCCCCGAGGAGGATCTTAGGGGAGCTCTGGAGGAGGACCCCAGACTTCCTGATAATTTTAGACCTGCTGGCGAGCAGTTTAGGAGCCCACCTGATGATTTTAGAAGTCATCGCCCTTTTGTGAGTTTTGGTCGCCCAGAAGGTGGCAAGTTTGATTTTGGAAAGCGTAATATGGGGGATTTTCCTGAGGGGAGATTTATGCCTGATCCAAAACTAAATTGTGGTTCAGATAGAGTAACTCCTATTAAGATAATGAATCTTCCATTTAAAGCTAATGTTAATGAAATTTTAGACTTTTTTCATGGTTATAAAGTCATACCAGATTCTGTTTCAATACAGTATAATGAGAAAGGATTACCCATAGGGGAAGCCATTGTTACTATGATAAACTACAATGAAGCTGTGGCTGCTATTAAGGATCTAAACGATAGGCCAGTTGGCCCGCGCAAAGTTAAGTTAATTTTGCTCTAGAGAGAATTTCTAAATTCAGTACCTTCCCACAGTATTGATGCAGTAAAATGCATTTTTTTAAGTGTTTATTTTTAATTCTCTAATGAAAAACATTTTAATTTGATCTTTGAATAGAACAAATGTAAATAGTAGAATGTTAATCTGGTTTTCTTTTGCTTGCAAATTGTCATTCACTTTTTCTAATTTAAAATTACATATGCCTTTTTGGACAGTGGGAGAAAGAACTAATTTCTTGTTCATTCTTGTTGATGCGTTGGGTAAACCTCAAGATTTGTATAAAGTAGAGTTGTATTTGGGGAAGATAAATTTTATATTCACTTTTGTTTCCATTCTGTAGTCTTTATGTCTTTTGGTCAGACTGTGTAAGGAAATGGTCAGTGACTGTTCAGGTTTGGCATTTTCTTTGCTACCTGTCTACAGACTTAATGCCCTCTTGCCCATCTCTGGGATATTACTGTGTTAAACCTTCTGTTAAATATATGATAGTTCAAAATAGACTGTGAACCTGAAATTTATGTAAAAAGCTTAGGAGATTCTTAAAGTTGCCATGTTCATAACTTTGCAAAGTTTTATAAAAATAAAAAATTGCAACTGAATAGATTAAGCTTTACTTGTATTTGTATAAAAAGATTTAACATCTGGGTATTGTGAAGTTTTTCAGCAGCTACGTTAAATAATATTTATGATAGGTGCCAAACATTATATAATAGTGTATAGTGCTATGTCTAGTTCTGTGGCTTCTTGAACATGTCATCAACCAAACTGACAAGATTAACTCAAAACACTTTTTAAAACAAAGAATGTAGTTATAGGCACAAAGGGACTTCCAGGCTTGTACTGGGAAGAATCAGACAAATGGATAGTTTTTGTTTCTAGTAAAGATTTACTGATAATTCATACAACTTGTATGTTTTATTATTTTCATTTTGTAGTTTCAAAACTATCCATTCAGAAACTCAGTAACTAAGTATAATAAGATTTTTGTGAGATTGGATTTTGTTGTCTTTGCTATTCAATATCTAGCGTAGACATTTTGCAAATGCTGGATTTTATTTTCTACTCATAATAATATTTATTGGGCACTTACTATGTGTTGGGTACTATAAGTGTTTTACAGACATAATCTCAATACTCCCTAAGAAGCATAGGGCTTATTATTTATCTAATTTCACAGATGAAGATAATGAAGTTGAGAGAGGTTAAGCGGAATGCCCAAAGTCAGTAGGTAAATCATGGAGCCAGTTTTAACCCACACAGACCACTGACCTCCAGTTCATGCCCTTAACATTTTTGCAGCCTCACTTTGTTAAATAGTATTTTGAATTTTAGTGAAAACATGCTAAAATATTTTAAGGGTAAATGATTAACATATTGTTTACTTCCATTGTTGCTTTAAAAATAGCACTGAAAAAAGAAAACTAGAGTGCTCAAAGAGTGCCAACAAAAGACAAAGTGACTTTAAAAGTTCTTACATACTCAGGGTCTCTTGGACACATATGTTGGCTTCTGATTCACACAGTGGAAGATTACTCATTTTATCAAGCATGATTTGATTTTGGTTGGCCTTTCACAGTTTACACAAAAAGTTAACTATTCCTCCATTCTTTGATCCAGAGATACTTAACACTGATTGTTATACTGGAATAAAACTTGAATTATACTGAATATTCTGACTATTTTGCTTGCTATTAGAATGAATTAACTATTAAATTTGGCTCAGTAATGTACCTTAATAAGGCTTTTTTAAACTAGTAAGCTTATGAATAGCTAGGGGAATGTTAAACTGTTTGAAATATCCAAATGAAACACAATGAACAAAATAGGAAGAAATGGTATTTTTAGATGTTCAGAGATTACATACATCATTGGATCAGCCTTCCTGAGGAATGTGTGGAAGACTTAACGCTTCTCAACTGCATATCAATAAACCTAAGCTGAAGCTTAAAATACCACAGTGGAACAATTGCTTAAATTGGAATGGGGTGGGGGGGTGGTGGTATGTAAGACACCAGCTGTAGTAAACACATAGCCCTGGTGGCGCAACGGTTAAGTGCTTAGCTACTAACTGAAAAGTTGATGTTTCAAACCTACCCCGTGGCCACGCAGGAGAAAGATTACAGTGTAGAAAACCCTATGGGGTAGTTCTCTGTCACATGGGATTGCTGTGAGTTGATATTGACTTAATGTCACCTAACAACAACATAATTTGATTTTAAAATTTAATAAGTTGATGCGTACATCTCTTCCGAATTCTGCCTTGTGATAAATTGGCGGAGGTAGGAGCACTTAACACCATCGAAATTGGCAAATGTAGCAAATCAGGGCATTTTCCCCCCCGGGAGCGGATTTACCAGCACACCACCAATTTCAAACACAAAAGGGAATATACCCATTCCTCACTTGGTTAGGTTCCAAAAATAAGGTGGTTATGCAAAAATTGGCGTTAAGTGGAAGTGGAGGATTTTTGTTTGTTTTTAGACCGTTTGGGTTATTTATTTAGAGAAAAAAAGACAGAAATAACAGGTAAGATTTACTGATGTGCTCATCACTGTAATGAGTCCGGTTATGGACTGTTCGTCTGTGAAGGATGCTTGGAGGAGACCAAGCTGGATAGAGCCAGACTGTGTGACTGGAGGGCCCATGGCTTAACCACTTCACCTTCCTGTGCTGGGTCAGAGCTTCCCATCTGAGGAGCCACCTCTAGGGCTCCACTCCCACCCCTGCAAGCTTTGTATTTACAATCATGGAGCGTGCTGCTTTGCCCTTGAGGGTGCTGGGAGCCTGGCCGCACCCACCCTAAGACCGAGGAGGCTTCATGCCCAGTTCAGCTCACTTTGGGATGTCATTAAACTTACGTGCTGCACGCATTTCTTCCAGACACCCTCTGCGATGCCTCTTGCCTTCCTCACTCCCTCAGTTTTGAGCTGCAGGGCTTCAGGCTGCATAGGAGCTGGGAACCCAGAACAGGTATCTTCTGGCTAGGGGCTGTCTGCATGTCTGCCTGCAGGCCGAGGCCATGGAGGAGGCAGGCCGCGCATGGGCAGCTGGATGTGATACCCATGCCAGCAAGAGGTCATGGGGCAGTGAGCCCCAGCTTCCTGGAGGCTGCCTGGAGACCCTCCTTGAGGGAAGGGTTGCTCTGCAGCTGTTGCTGCCATGCGTGCCACCTTGTCAGTGTGCAATGCCCCCGAGGACAGGCCTCTTTGGGCTCCCTAAGGACAGGCGTCTCTCTGCCTTTGGCATTCCTGCTGTCACCACCAACTGCTGCAGGGCCTTCCTTGGTTGCCTCTTAAGTGTTACTGCCCTTGATTCATGTTACAGCTTTTAGGAGATTCCTTGCCTCCTGTCTGCTGTTTCCTGCTGCTTTTTGTCTGAAAAACTTCTGGGGTTAGCTACATATATAATACAACTTCTTGTCAATTTTAAGGCATGACCCCTCCCAGTGGGGGGGGGGGCACAAACTGACCAATCCCCTTTCAGTAGGTCACAGACATTTCTTTTGCATAGTAGGCTATAGTCACTTTATTTGCATAGTCACTTCAGGGGCCCTGGTGGTGCAGTGGTTAAGTGCTTGACTATTAACCAAAAGGTTGGCAGTTTGAACCCACCAGCTGCTCCATGGGAGAAAGATGTGGCAGGCTGCTTCCATAAAGGTTTATCGCCTTGGAAACCCCATGGAGTTCCCCCTTGTCCTATAGGTAGCTATGAGTTGGAATGGACTCCAGGGCAGTGGGTACCTACGGCTAGTCAATTTCTTTGCATAGGTATCTTGACCAGAGCCTGTGAAGTGCCTACCAATCACTGGGCAGGCTTCACAGTCTAGGGCTGGGCAAAAAGTATCAAACCCAAGTTGTTTACAGCTTACCCGGGAAATATACAAATCCTCTGGGTTACAAAACTATGGCAAAAACTCCTCAGAGTTTAGGGGTAAATCGAAAGCTTGTTTTTTAAAGAACCAAAGCAAAAGGCCACATCTCATTTCATCATCATGATCCATAATTACACATGAATTAACTATATCGTTTAATACAGATAATGCTAATAAAGTTATTCCCATTATAAAGAAATGGAGCCCTATAGGGTAAGTAGGTAATCAGGACAGTTGCCCATTTCCTTTTGTCCTCAACTTTATTTGAGAGAGGCAGAGTATACGTTTTGCTTCAGAATTATCTGGTGATTAATGTGTCAGGCACTGTTGTAGCTTTACAGGTAAGGCAGCTTATGCTCAAGAGTAGTGAGTTATTTAGTAAGCAGTAAGAGAAATACTAAAATACTGTTCTTTTCCCAACTACAACACCAAACTTAAATGCTGGCTGAGAAAATAATAAAAATGCAGTGATATCCTTAGTTCCTTAAGAATATCATTTTATTTAGGGTTTTAAAATCTTCTGAATACTCATTTTATCACTTAGGATTATTCTCAGGAAGCAATGCCTTGTTAAGAACAGAATGAGTCAAAAAGCTTTCTAAAAAGTCTTTATTTTCAGGTATCCCAAACAAGTTCATAAATCTCATAATTTTTATATGCCTGACTGGAATCTATGACATACCAAAATTATAATCTCCCACCCTAAGAAACAAAAGCACCAGACATACTGAAAGATTGATTAAATTGTTTTATATTTTCAGGAATAAGTGACTATATACCCTTTTATTAACTAGATTGTCACTAGGTAAAATTTTTATAGAATTTTTAATGATTAATGATCTTCCAAGTATGCTTATTTATGTTTTTCTTAGGCAATATTCCACCACATTACTAGCTTTTGAAAAGTTGTTCCACATATAATGCTTTAGCTTGACAGCAGCTTTATTCTAAAACCGAAATGAAGGTTCTTTTTAAAATTTTTTTTAAAGCTAAAATATATGCTTTATGCATATTTGCAAAGCATTGACATCTTGGTGTCCCATTGTTTAAATTCTATTTGAGTCCCCTATTGTTGAAAGGTAAACTTACAGATCAAATGATGAAATTTCAGGTTTTAGTAAAGGTTAAAAAAAAAGTCTTTTTTTACGTAAGGCTTTAGAATAGCCTTTGTATTTAACCAGAATGACTAGACAGGAGGGGAGGCTTTTCTAGTGACAAAAGCACGGAGTCTTAACCTAAAAGAAGCTAGATGGAATTGTTCGATTTTTTGGTTTTTATCACCCACTTTTGGCAACCTCTACAGGTATAATACATTAATATGAAATACTTTGAAATATATAATCTTAAAAAAAAATGGAATTTACACAAAAAGATCACATACCACTAGGTAGGACACTGAAATGACTGGTGTGTAATATTTTTTAAAACCTTCATTTTTGGCCAACATGAATTTCCTTTAATTATTTTTACATTTCTAGTGGCATTTCATTTTGAGGTTTAATGTATCAAACTAGTATAAAGTTTTACAGTTTAGTAATCCTGGATTCTGAGTCATTTTAAGATGAAAGAAATGTGAAGTGTACTTAAGAAAATTAATTTTCTTCTTCCGTAATGTCTAACTCTTCATCATCATCATCATCATCATCATCTGCTTGTTGATCCTTTCTTAGTCGACAGGTGGATACCTGTTAAAAGTTAACACAGTTTTAAAAATAGAAACTAAATATTTTTAAATACTTGGTATATATTTTTATATGCCCTTATAGGAAGTGCACACAGAACAAAATATTCATAAAAATGTTCATATGAAGTAATTTTCGGTAATGAAGAGTCCCAATGAATTATTAATTTTAAGGTTGAAAACAGCCACAAAAATTTTTCATTTATATTATTCTTTGAATAAAAATATGAAATTAACATTTGATTCCAGTTGGATGTCACCAGTGCTTCAATAATATATTTTGTTTTAGAGAAAAGTACAGGCTCAGTATATTATAAATCTCAAAAATATTTTAAATTAAACAATTCCTTGGGTAATAAAAAGTTATTTGAATGAGAATCATCAAAAAGATGGAAAGATAAGGGATATTTCAACTAGGCAGTGAGACAAATACTGATTTAAAAGTAGTGTCATTTAAGTGGAATAAATTGAGGATCTGAATCCACTACTTGGCTTCAAGTCCTGACTGTTGCCACATGGGTCAGTTTAAAATTTGAGCGTGACTGTAACTCCCAAGGGACATTTGGCAATGTCTGGAAACATGGTTGGTTGTCACAGCTGGGGGTGGTGTGTATATGCTACTGGCACCTCCTGGGTAGAGGTAAGGGATGCTGCTTAACATCTTTATAATGCATACGACAGCTCCCCTCCCCAATGATTCAACAGGCTCCAAATCTCAATAGTGCCAAGGTTGAAAAACCGTGGGATGATATATTCTATACTGTTGTATAAATGTTAACTCAGGTAGTGTGTGCTGTTGAGTCAATTCTGACTCATAGGGACCCTACAGGACAGAGTAGAACTGCCCCACAGGGATTCCTAGGCTGTAATCTTTACGGGAGTAGATTGCCAGGTCTTTTCTCCTGTGGAGCCACTGGTGGGTTCAAACTGCCGACTTTTCGGTTAGCAGCTGGACACTTAACCATTGTGCCACCAGGGCTCTGTTTAGGTAACATTCCTAACTCTAAACAGGCAAAACTTAATGCTGGAATAATGAAAATATATTTGGTTAGGGGGACAGATGTATACACATAAAGTAGTGAATAAATGCTTAGGTAAGAATCAAGACGGTACTGGGTCAAATTTACCCTGAAAGTTGTATTTTGAAAATGTTTTGCTCAACTTAAAATTTTGAAAGATACGAAAAGCTTGGATGCTAACCAAAAGGTTGGCAGCTCAAACCCACCCATCAGGTCCGTGTGAGAAAGACCTGGTGATCTGCTCCCATAAAGGTTACAGCCTAGAAAACTCTATGGGGCTGTTCTACTCCATCACACGGGGTCTCTATGAGTCAAAAATTGAGTTGATGACAACAACAGGTATGAAGAGAGCATAGCTTTCTAGATCAAGGGTCAGCAAGCTGTGTCCCTTGGGCCAAATCCAGCCTGCCTTCTGTTTTTGTAAATAAAGTTTCATTTGGGACACAACCATACTGATTATGTATTGTCTATGGCTGCTCTTAATTGACGGAGACCATATGGGTTGCAAGGCCTGAAGTATTTACTCTCTAGTCCCTTATAGAAAAAGGTTGTCGACCCCTGCTCTAGAAGTCAGGCTTTCTGGATATATAAAATACCAGAAAATTGGCTTTTTCTCTAATTTTTGTGCTTTTGGGTCTATGGTAATAGTCCGCAAAAGCCTCTTTTAGGTGTAATTTCTGGTTACCGCAGTGAGTCGTGATAAATTTAAGCCTAACCTGTCTGACTTCAGAATCTGTGCTCTTCATATTATACTAGAGAAAAATCTAGCATTCTTCTGCCGTTTCCATCTCTGTTCTCAAGTGTTCTGCTTTAGAGAGTAATATGTGATTAAAGTATAAATGGTACTTGATATAAGAACATTTTATTAGAGCTGCACTTTGTATCACCTTTATTTTACAGAGGAGGAAATAGGCCTAGGGAAACATTTTTAGTATTGAACAATTCCAAAGGTAGGAGCCCAAACTCCTTTATTGTTTCCAGCTCACCTGTCCTGTTCCAGATACACACTTAGCTGACAGCGATCTCTGTAGAGGTGACTTTGAATTTGCTCTTACAATATCTAAACGAGATGAATAATCTGGTGGATACAGAGAGTTTCGGAAAACCTATTGCAATGGTGAAACAACATCTTATAAAGTAGATACTAAACAATGAAATCTATAAAGCCAAATTAAGTTCTTCTTAGTTAAGATTTTTTAAAGCAGCCCCCCCAAAATGGACAAAAATCCAATTATTTATTGTAAAATTAAAGGAAAAACAAAAGAAAACAAAAATAATACAACCTGGAAAGATAAAAACTAAAAAAATACTATTTGAACCATATAAGATGATGATGCTGTAAATAGTAATTAAGTCATGAAACAATCACTTGAGTGCTTTTACCAGGGACAACGCAAAGGCAAACATGAAAAGTTCCTACCCTGAAAAAGTCTGCAAGCTAGTAGGGATGTTACAACTCACGCTTCTGATTCTTTCTGTTCTGCCAGTCCTCAACTCTTTTATCAATTTAACTTCACTGCAGCAGAGCTATAGGAAATCACATAACAGTAAATTGGACCACTGTAATTTATGGATTCCAACCTCATCTAGGAGACCCTGGTGGTGTAATGGTTAAAGAGCTACTGCTGCTAACCAAAAGGTTGGCAGTTCGAATCTACCAGGCGCTCCTTGGAAACTGTATGGGGCAGTTCTGACTATGAGTTGGAATTGACTGGTTGGCAACGGGTAGTAGTAGTAACCTCATCTAGCATCTGGAATGCCCTTACTTGTCAGTTCTCTTTCCTTAAAGCAGTAGTTCCAAATCTTAATCACTCCTATCTCTTCTCTTCCCCCATTTCTCTTTATAGAAATAAACTAATAGGTAAGGTTATCAGGTGTGAATTGCTTTAACTTCCCTACCTTTTCCCCTCACTCTTCACCTCATCCTTTTTTTTTTTTTTTTAAGGAAATGTCATTCTGATCCTTTCCAAGATGCATTTTTACTTTATTCAAAACCTCAAACCAATAAACAAAAGCTTCCTTTTTCCATAGGTTCCCTCCTATAATCTACAAACAAGCTCAAGATAATTTTTTTTAAATTACCTTGAAGTATAACGTTCAAACCAAAACCAAACCCATGGCCACGGAGTCGATTTGGACTCATCGCAACCCTATAGGACACAGTAGAACTGCCCCTTAGGGTTTCCAAGGCTGTACATCTTTACAGAAGCAGGCTGGCACATCTTTCTTGCGCGGAGTGGCTGGTGGATTCAAACCGCCAACCTTTCAGTTGGCAGCCAAGTGCTTTAACTACTGCATCACCAGGGTTCCTTAGTATAAGATTACTTCTTTAAAAATTCTCAAATATTCTACTTTGTCTCCATTTACCGGTCAACACACCACACTGAAATTGCTCTTGCTTTATTTTTTCCCTTCGTTTTCACTGACCCTGTCTTTGAAACTTGTTTTTCATGCCATCCTAAACTCTCACTGTGCTAAAACCAAAAACCAAACCTGTTGCCACTGAGTTGATGTGAACTCATAGCAACCCTGTTAAGACAGAGTAAAACTGCCCCATGTGGTTTCCAAGGAGCAGTTGTGTATTTGAACTGTAGACTTTTTGGTTAGCAGCCAAGCTCTTAACCACTACACCACCAGGGCTCCCTCATTGTGCTGGCTGTTCTATGGCTCCACGTCTCTTACACCTTGAATATTTTTAAAGGGTTTCCCTTACACCACTTTAAGAAAAAAAAATGTTCCTCTGAAAGATCTCACTTATACATAGTGCTTAATGGTTACCCTTCAGCCAATCCACCATATAGTCTCTTCTGATAGCCATATTCATGTTTCGAACCACCTGTTCCCCTAGACCAGTAATGTCCAATAGAACTTTCTGAGTTGATGGAAATACTTGCTGTTCTGCGCTGTTCAAAAAGGCAGCCACTGGCCACATGTGGCTACTAAGCACCTGAAATGTGGCTCATGTGATGGAGGAACTGAATTTTTACTTTAATTTTAATTTAAACAGCCGTATATGCCTAGTGGCGATGATTCACTTTTACAATTACCAAAATTACCATATACCTAGAAGACCAAACTAGAAGTCTGAGCATTCTACCTAAATTTATTATCTGAGGTACTTGTGTTTTGATTTAGTGACTCCACACACCTTTACAGCTTACTTAGAATGATCTTATTTAAGACCAAAATCTGCTGTTATTTCTTTATCCAAAAACATTTTACGGCTCCTGAATACCCAGAGTCCAGTGCCTTAGGTGACATACAAGGCTTAAGATCACCCTAAACTACCAACTACTCTTCACTTACAGCCTTCAGACCTATCTGCAGAATGAACGTTACACTACGCCTTTGCAGTGCTGGCTCCTCAGCCTGGAATTCCAGCAAACGTACTCATTCTTCAAGAGCCAAGTCAAGTGTCACCTTTCTTCCATTTTCCCCTATCCTCTAGCCAGTAGCTCCTACTATTCATATCCTCAGTACACCCTTATCTTACTGTTTGATAGTTGATTGCATCTGTCTCCACATCTAGTTTTAAGTTCTTCTAGCAAGGAGTCCGGTTTTATCTTTACAGCTCCTAGTTTAAGACAGTAACCTCGCAAACAGAAGGTGAATTAAATAAATGATGTTAACATGAACTTAATCCCCATGTTGTGGGGGGAAAAAAGGAGACCCAAACTAGGAGATCTCTCTACGTATTTGTTTAAACTTTAGGGAACTGCCCGGCACGAAAGGAATCAAGGGATGAAACGTGATTAACTCAAGAGGTGGGACTTTCACTTAGAGCAATTCAGCATCCTGGTATAACAGAAAAACTGGATGACTCATTGATCTAATTAACTGATATTTGGAAAGGATATATTATTTTAGTTAGAAGAACATTCCTTTTTAAACTTCTAGCAAAGATTAAGTTACAAGTGGAAAATGGAAGACAATTTACCACTCGGGATAAAAGTCGAACCAGTTAAATATTAACATCTTGCTGCAAAATGTAATAGATTTACAAGAATACTAATTTACTGGCTATAGTGTAATTTCCAACATGGTCCAAGATCTCTTCTAGGAGTGAGTCTCAGATCACAACATACTTTGCAGTGATTGCAGAGAGGATCTTCTGAAGGAGAAAATGGGCCTGACAATACTTTATGTGAAGAACAAATAAAGCAAGACGGTTTGTGATATTACTACAGTGCCTAACTGCAAAAAGCTGGCTACTTCCTGAATAGGTCTCAGCTGTTCTCACAAAGCATGGAATACCTATAAGAATAGCAGGTTATTTCTCTGTTCCTCTCTGTACATTTACTTATTTCCAATAAACTTTATATAATTACCTGGTACTCCTTGGTACCTGTCTGATATAATTTTACTTCCCCAGGTCCCATAACTCTCCCCAGACTGCTTTGCTGTCCTTTTGGGTATTTATTGACTGTTGTCTGGCCTAATAGTAATAGTTTATGCCTAAAGTTCACTGAACAGTTGCTCTGTGTCCTGATTATGTTAGCTGCTTTATATACATTGCTCTTTATTCACAACAGTTCTGGATCTGGACTTCTGGATATCTATACAAAGATTTTGCTGGGCATCCTCCTACACATCCCTCAGACTTACAGTCAAGAAATCATTCCTTGATTCTCCATAATATTTGGAACACTCCATCACACACACTCACAGCATATTATATTTTTTCCTTTATGGCACTGGTCACATAGCAGTTGCAGAATGAGCATTTTATGAGGTAAGTACTGTATGTATCTCCATTTTAGAGATGAGAAAGCTGAAGTGTGAAGGAGAAAACTTGTTCAATATTACCCCATTAAAAGGTTGATATTCAAAAGCACATCTACCATAGCCCTGAAACCTTGAGTTTTTCATGGAGCTCTCCTACAAGCTACCTAACAAACCAGTTAAGAGTAATAGAGAAGTTAAAGGAAGTGGTATGACAAAGGGCATCTAGGACCTCTGGAATGAGAAGGAAAAACTTGGGGACCAAAGGCTTGAAGGAACTTTAATATCAGGTAACAAATGCTGTGTCAAGGGTATTAGAAAAAGGAAAATAGAAATATTTTTAAAGAGGACTCCAATCTTGCAGGAAAAGCTTCATGTCACCCAGCAAAACCATACTTCTAGCAGTATTGTGTAGAGAAGGATAAAAAACATCATCTGTAGTCAGACTTCAGGGTTTGGCTCCAGCTCTGCTACCTACTAGCTTCCTTGGGGAAGTTTCTTAACCTGTGCTTCAGTTTTCTCATCCACAGAAATGAGGACAGTAAGTACTTTTATCAAAGTTTATGGGAGGATTAAATGTATTACTATAGTTAAAAAGCTTAGATCAGTAGCTGGTCCAAAGTAAGAAATATATAAGCACTTTCTATTTTATTATTTTACAAATGACAGATAAAAGCTTGATTATTTAAAAACAGGACATGAAAAGTAAAAATTAAGAAACCTTTAGCTTTAGTACTTGAAGGAGATACTCTTAGGAAGTCATCTATTGACAAGCAAAGTAAATATAACTATGATCATGCATGCACAACTGACAAAACTGAACCGGCATTGGAAGCATATATACACGTACCAAGAAGAAACTTCATTTTAGTTAAGCTATTTTCTGGTTTTACTGAATTAAGTTTCCTGGAGCCAGCACAGAAGTGGGAAGAAAAGGCCCAGGGGACCTCCTTATGGATATTTTTACTAATAAAAATTGGAAGGAAATTTCAAAATTTTCAAATGGTAGACAATTCTCTCATTTGTTAGCACAGAATTCTGGTTGTATCTGGGAAGCACATGGTCGTTTTCTTTTCTACTATGAAGATAATATGGACAAAGAATGTCCTGCATATCTATTTCAGCAAAACTACTTTTGTGCCTATTTTTCTCTTGGAAGATAAAGAGGGTAGGACACTAATTCTTCAGATGTGTTTACTGAGGCTTAAACAAAACCTAAACCCAGTGCTGCTGAGTCTGATATTTAATTGCTCTAATGTTAGCTGGCCAATTAGAATCATTTGCATTTAACTAAAACTCCTTATATAAGGAGTTTATTTCACAGGTTACTGATTAAGTCACACAAAACCTGTTAGAATCCCAATTCTGCTATTTAACAGTTAAGTGACCATGGGCAAGCTAAGTTATTTAAAGCCTCTAGGTCCGTTTTTTGTGGTTGTAAAATGGAAATAGCAGCACCTAACTCACAGGATTGTGTGAAGACTGAATGAGAAAACACATGTAAAGCTTTGGATATTTGTGCATGGCATAAATGCTCAAATGTTAGCTTATTTTGAGTACACTAGTGAGCTTATATCACTAGTCAAAATGATAAACTATTTCACATAATGGTTTTATGTAGATTCTATTTACTAGCTATTAATTAACTGTTGGAACTTTACCATGTTTAATGTAAAAAGTTAAACATAAAATCATAAAAGTTTAGCTATTCATGAGCACACAATAACAAACAACTGCAGTGTTCAAATTTAAAGTTTTTCCCCACACAAGCTAGTGTTCTCTTAAACATTTCCATATTAACAGAACTAAGCTTAGATAGACAATCCTACCTCTAAATCTTCTTCCTCATCAATCTTTTGTATATTTTGGTAGGCAGCAGTGTAGACCTCTAAAGCTTTGCCATGAAATAACATTTCAATAGTGATAAATTCTGAAAATATATTCTAAAAAACAAAGATTTTAATTTAAACAATCAGTTAAATTGCTTTGTGAATTTAGTAAATTTTTCTTCACTATATTCTTAGCATTTTTTTATTGTTCTAGTTTAAATGAAGTTTACATTTCAAGTTAGTCTCCCATACAAAATTTTATACATACATTGTTATGTGACCCTAATTGCTCTCCCCATA